AGAGCAGTAAGACTAAAAGCAGCAAACACAAGGCCCGAAGACAAAGTTGTACTGCTGACTGTACAGATATGTCACGACAGTAAGGTCTTTCCTTCCGACAGCCAGCATAACAGTGATGCTGCCTTTTCCTAAGGAAGGGTGGGGTTAAAAAAGATCGACCCTAAAAACGAACATCTCATCTTGTCCCACAGATATCAGTCTCCGGTGGTAATGTTCCAACAAGTAAAGAGCTAGCACGAAAATTACTTACAAAAAGGTCGTGTGTGACCGACCAAGCAGTTGTTCTTGGGCACTGCCGTCACGCTCTCAATAGCACACACACTGATTCACCATCATTCCCTATTACCTTGCGTCTAACCTCGGGTATGTAATAGCGAGGTTAGGCGTAGGGTATTAAGGAATGATGGTAAATCAATTGACGAGGTTGTAAACCTTCATCGACTGAGATGGATGGGCCACATGTTACGTATGCCTGAACACCGATTACTATGACGTGTAATGCTAACCGGTGTTGGGGATGGTTGGAAGAAAGTTAGAGACGGTCAAACTAAAGCGTAGCATCAGTCCTTCAAGTCACTAACTTCTAGTCTGAGCCATGTTGGTAGATGTAGACTACATAGTTGTGGTCCATGCGACTATCATAACCAATGGTTGGAGACGTAGGTGAATACACTCTTTGTCTTCCCTTAAATCACGAGATTTAAATCGTTTCATATCTTTCTTTGTACGAACTAATTCTTCCTTCTTATACTATATCCTTACATAATATCTTTCTACCACTGAATTAACAACTTCTATCAATCGGATATTTGTCTTGTTGTGCTAATAAAGAAGGTTTGTCAACTTGAACCAATGCATTTATGTGCCTAGTTCTACGTTCTCTTATAATTCAATGATCATTTATATAAATTTTCAATTGTATTTCAAATAACATGAACCATTATCATTAAAACTTTAAATAATATAAACAAACTCGTTACTAGACAAGTTTTTTTTTCTCTTTCTCACTCTCTCTCTCTCTCTCTTAATTCAAATTTATTTAAACAAATTGAATAAAGTGAACAATTCAACGTTTCAATAAATTATTGCTACCTAGTTACAAGAGAGAGAGAGAGATAGAGAGAAAAAAACAAAGAGAAAATCTTACCGATTTTCTTAGTTTTTGTAAAGAAAAAAAACATTGAACATTGAATAGGTTTTATTTTTTTAAAAAAAAAACAACAACAACTTGTAATCATACAATTTAGTTACATGTTTCAACGAGATTTTAAATGGTGTATAGATGATTTTGAATGTTTTATTAAATTAAGAAGTATTATAATGTATAAACTAATAGATAGATAGTTAGTGACTAGTAGTGGATATCTAGGACAAATCACGTTTTCGTCTTCTTTGAGATTCGTCATCTGGATGTACCTGTATTCCAGAGTTGATGTTTACTTGAGGACTCGAGCTCAGTACTGTTTGCATTAAGCGCTATCATATTATCCAATTTCATTTATAGAGGCATACATCAACTCCAGGATGCAGGTACATACAGCTGATAAGTGCCGAATAGGATGAAATACACGTCCTGGATTCCACTCGTAGCTACTATCCACCATTGGTTGAAATGATTGTGAATTAAGGCAATATCAAGGCAATCTGAACAGAGTGCACATATACTAATAAGAGACTGATCAATTGCTGGTCCTAAACAACAATAGGGAGTTACAAGCAAACAATCAAAAACTTAATAATCTCCACAACTCCTATACTAGTAATCAACATGTGCTCACTAGTGACTAGCTTCGTGAGGGAATTCTCGGAGTTCTAGTGAGAAGCCGTGATCAGTGGAGCTAATCCTTGTCGGGTAGAGACAGTTATCTACCTCAGTACAATGGAAGCTGGTCGCGCAATTTCGTGGATTGGTTGATGTTAGAAACTACCACCATCGGATGCCGGCTCAGTGGTCCAGTTGGTTAAGCGTTCGCGCGCGAGACCGAAGGCCCTGGGTTCGAATCCCGCTCGCGGGATCGTGGATGCTCGCTGCTGAGGAGTCTCATAGTAGGACGAAACGGCCATCCAGTTCTTCCAGGTTTTCAATTGTGATGGTCTAACATCAATTGGTTCATGATCTCAATCAAAAACACCAAATGAATTTGTACTTATGATTGACTTGAATATGTTACTTTTGAAACAAAACAATATTCAGTATTACAATCCTTCTCTTAAATGATTTACTTTCCGTCTAATTTAATGTAAATATTCATAGATTAAACCCAAAATTCATTTTTATAACCAAAGATGGATAATGACTAGCACTGGGATCCACGACGCCTGTTTCATCCTATTTCGGACTAGTTAGCTTAATGTACCTGAATGCCAGAGTTGATATCCACTCCGGGACTCAAACTCGGTACCGTACCTCCAGCTGACGAGTCCCAAATGGGATGAAATGCGCATCCTGAATTCCACTACTAACCAGCATCCATCTTTTCTTATAGTGTTTATGACTTAAGGCAATGTCGAGGCAATACGCACAGTATGTATATATCCCAATAAGCGACTGATCAATTTCAGTCCTAAATAACATTGGGAAGATTCAAGTAAACAATACCAAGTCAATAGATATGTATTCTTAAAATGATTGCAAGATACCTGTCATTTTATAGAGTGATCAAGTTGATACTGAGTGTAATGTTTCATTTAAAAGACAGAGAAAAAGAATGGTTAAATAGTTTGAGATGATGCGGTTTATAAGTTGTTTTTGATCAATGATTGTCGCTAGGATTACAACAATGTGACTTAGCAATTGGGGAACCTTAATTTTTAGTAAGTGGGATTATGACTTCGGTGAGACTATAATTTATGGACGAACCAATCAGGTATAAGGTGACAGGTCTCGGATTTTGGCGCCAAATTCCCTAATCCATCTGGTTGAGTAGTAGTGTTTTTAGCATTATAGCTGATGTTAATTCGTGATGAAAACCCTTAATCTAATTTATAACCCTAACCATCAACTATAAATCATAATTCTAATTTCTCACACTCGTTTATAACCTTCATTTTGTTCTAGTTATTAGGTAAACATTCCCAAGTTCACTCTAGCGTCGCTCAAAGGTCGTCCATAAATTATAGTCTCATCAAACTTCCTATTGTTGTATGAATGGGGTTGTTTCTGCGGCAAATACATAGCAGTTATTATAATTTACAACTAGAGGAACAAACGAATACAAAGAACATTACTATCAAACAAGTGCTCATTTTTTTGACGATCCATTGATTTAGATTAATTTTATGTGAACTAATCAAACTAAACACGGGTAATGTAAGTGTAGAAATTCTGTAAAAAGATTGCTTAAGTAAGTGTGCTCAGAAAGATGGTTGGTAGGTAATGAGGTTCCACCTAGGGGGGGGTAGTTGAAAAACCCTCATTCGACATCAATGGTGCACATGGCCTACAGGATCCTAAGGGAACAAATGACGTATGAGCCAATTACTGGTCACCGGCTACCATGGGACTGAATCTCCTAAAGTTACTCCATTGCCTTTTGGATCAGACCTTTAGGTAGAATGCTCCGGGTGTGTTCTTCCAAGAAAATCACCTGCTTCGGTTTGGGCATCCGAGCAGTATCACAGCCCACACACAAATCAAGTGACTTGTGCGTCGCCTATGTATTCGGTGTCTTTTTTCTACCAATTTTCATGTGTTCAAATAAATAAATAGTGCCCATTAAAAAACAAAACAACGATCAAGCATTTAATGTTCCCATAATTTCATTGATGAAATGGGATATCATTATAGGTGTAAGTATTTTTAAGGTAGTTTCAAAAGAGAACTAAGCATTAATGTAGTGAACAAATGGTAGTGATTTTATTTCTCAAACAGATTGAGGTTAACTATTCCATATGTGCAAAGATGGATAGGGGCTAATAGTGAAATCCAGGGCAAAGCGCGTCTCGTCCTATATGGGACTCGTCTGGTGGAAATACCTGTATCTCAGAGTTGTTGTTCACTCTAGGACTCGGACTCAGTAGCATTCGCTTCAAACTCTATTGCGTTATCCACTTAGCTACTGAGTCCTGAAAGCCACTTGCTTTTCCAGAATCTCAAAAGTTTTCTTGAATAGTATTTCATACAATGAAATGATTATGAATGAGATATATTTCAACTTTCTATTGTGTACTGGATCACAATGATGACTGTAGATGATAGTCTATTTAGTATTATGAAGGAAAAGATTACATTTAGTTTTCAGTCTATACTTTCTTAAGGAGGTTAAGTCCAAGTGCAATGCACTTGAATTTGTAGTTCTAAATACAGTCATTTCCAAGAATATGAAATATAAGTCACCATTGCACAGATATTAACTTAAGTGCATTATTCTACGATTAGTCAGATATATGATTTTTATCAGAAGAGGTTTTTGTGGATATTATAGTAATTTCAATAGTTGAGATCATGAGTCATTTGTATCTAAATCACCATAGAAAACCTAGAAACACCGTTTCGTCCTATTGTGAGACTCTTCAGCCGTACGTATCCATGATCCTGTATCGTAAGATTCGAACCCATGACATAACAATCTCGTACACGTACGCTTAACCTCTAGACCACTGATCTAGCCGTCATCCAAAGGTGTTAATGTCTAACCTCAACCAATCCACAAAATTGTCTGATCATCTACCATTATACTAAAGTAGATACCTGTCTCTACCTGACACGAATTAACTCCACTGTTCATAATCATCAGTGAACATCATTTTACTAAACATTGAAAAAAAAATACACACACACACAAACACATAATGAATAACTTCACGTATATTTCATCCATGTTATTTCATTCGTTTATGTTGTAAATAAACAGCACATTTATAATATGAAAACAATATAGATGTTTATTTCATATCAGTGAATGATTATCACCATTATAATAATGATAATAATCATTAGCTTAGTAACTATCAATGATTAGCACACACTGGAGTGAATGTAACATTAATATCATAGTAATTCAAATATTAGTACCATGTACTAGATTAGTCACATACGGGTAGTGTAATACAAATATACCATTACCATTATTATTATTATTATTATTATTATTATTATTATTATTATTATTATTACCACTACCACCACCACTACTACTACTAACACTAATACCATTACTGTTATTATTATTACTACCACTACTACTACCATTATTATTATTATTATTATTATTATTATTATTATTATTATTATTATTATTATTATTATTATTATTATTATGAATGTCAACTTATTAATAATAAACATTCATTAATACTGAAAACAGTGATTTACTTTGAAATGACGAATGATTAAATAACTACCCATTGAAATTGAATGAATTCATTCAGTAAACAAATAACAAATATAAAGACTAAGAAGAATCGATGAAAAAAACAAAACAAACCTGACTTAATTCAATTTCAAATGTTGTTTACAAATTTTTTTATTTCGATGGTTAAGATCATAAGTCAGTTGAAGCTAGACCACCATGAAAAACCTGGAAGCACAAGATGGCTGTTTCGTCCTATTGTGGGACTCCTCGGCAGTGCGCATTGACCACTGTTGGATGCCGGCTCAGTGGTCTAGTGGTTAAGTGGTCGCGCATGAAACCAGTAGACCCTCGCGTGGTCTGTATCGTGAACGCGTGCTGCTGAGGAGTTCCACAATAGGACGAAACAGCAGCCTTGTGTTTTCAGGTTTTTCATGGTGGTCTAGCTTCAATTGATTCATGATCTCAACCATTTGAATAAAATTTTATCATAAATGTAATATGATTATAGTAACATTTAAACAAAATTCATACCTTTAAACATTAAATTACACTATACTTTTCAGTATAGTTGGATTGTAGCTAACAGAAGAATACAAGTTACACTTTTCTTCTTATTTGGGACTTGTCAGACGGATGTACCTCATATATTCAAACGTTTATATTCGCATTGAAACTGAACTACTGAAATCAATTGCTTTTCATACCCGTTGTTCAATATTCAATTATTCTGTTATTCGAATATACACCTCTCTCTCTCTCTCTAGGCCTCATAAGTAAACATATTGTTTACGTGACCGCAGTATTAACATACACATAAATTTTTTTCAATCAAATTCACCATAAAATCTTTTCATTCATCACTAAAATCAAGTTTTATAGTACACCAATTGATTATTGGTATAGGGTTGAGGAGATTATTGAGTTTTAATTGATGTCATGAATGGATCAACGTTAGATCACCATTGGAAACATGGAAGCATGAGATGGCTGTTTCGTCCTAGTTTGGGACTCCTCAGCAGTCTACATCCACAATTCCTGAACAAATAGAACTGAATCCCGGACCTATCGGTCTTGTGTTCGAACGCTTAAACTCTAGAAATTTAGCGGGGTGACCAGTGGAGTTCAACGGTATCTGTTGTGAGGCACTTACTGATTGAACTTAATGGTGGACGGTGGTGCGATTCCGTGGATTGGTTGAAGTTAGACATTCACACAGCTGAATGCCGGCCAGCTCAGTGGTATAGAGGTTAAGTGTTCACGCGCAAGACCTATAGGTCCTGGCTTCGAACCCAGTGGGTGAGATGATAGATGAGCACTGCTGAGGAGTTTCGTTGCAGGACGAAACGACTGTCCAATGTTTCCACGTTATCAATGGCGATCTAACATTAATCCATTTGTGATATCACTCACAATCATTCAAACGTAAATGTTTAACTATTGATGTGGTCAACACCATAAACCCCTTACTCAAAAGAAAGTTAGAATAGCTTTGATAATTTACTTCAGAATTTATAGTCTGTAGAAGCCTTTGTTGTCTTCTTAATCTTTAACATTCCTGTTCACTAATTTACCACGTTTATCTCAAATCATGTGAATTTTTGATTCTATCCTCATAAGTTGATAGATTAGATCTATATCGATAGGTTTAATGATTACAGGTTTAGTCGAATGACAGACTTTTATAAATTCTCTAATATTCTAAGATTCCTCCTAGTCTAAAATCTTGAAAGTTTTTAATAATGACTATTTATAACATTGTTTAACTGATCATTTATGTTTCTAGGAAAGTTGATAGAAGGACTTCATAGTTTAGTTCATATATAACTTCACATTAGTCAAACGAATAAACTAATCAATGTGAATATATATGAAGTTAACAAAGCTTAGAAGGACAACTGAATATCAAAGAATCGATTCAGAATTCCTAGAATAGTTTGATAACACTTATTTCTACTTAAAATAGGTATTAATGTTTGTTTGTTTTTTATATCAAAAATGACAATAAAAGTATCATCATCTAACTGAGAGTTGAAAGTTCGAGCGTGAGACCGATAGGTTATGAGTTCGAATCTCCACGAAGCGAGATCATGAATGCAAACTGTTGAGAAGTCTAATAATTGGACGTAACCGCTGTTCAACGCTTCCAGGTTCTCCATAGTGGTCTAGTTTTAATTGATTCATGATTTCAACTATTGAAAATTACTACAATCTCCACAAAACCGCTTTCTGATAAAAAAAAATTTAATGAGTGAATTCATGAGTTAACTGAGGCTGAAGTTCTTTGTTTCGAATCTCTTTGATGCGAGGTCGTGTATATGCACTACTGAGGAGTCCCATACTAGGACGAAAAGGTCTTCTAGTGCTTCCAAGTTTTCCATGGTGGTCTAGCTTCAATTGATTCATAATATTGTAGTGACCTACTTTTACCAAGAGAACGTGATTGATTTAATGGAAACAATCATTATTATAACCAATTGTACCAGTGATTGTTTTACTGTGCTAAAGACAGCCATATTACTGCTTCATGATCCTTCGATTGATTGTGACCTTGCACGGGTTCGGTTACGCTCGGTAAACACGCTTGTACTCCTTTGACACCATCTCGGTATCCTTTCGATATCATGAGATCGCCAACGAATACATCTCGACTACAGCCATCAACTATTTTCTGATATTTGGCTTACGGGGGGTTTTATCGGTTAACCGACACATAGTCTTCTTGTAGTGGTGTTCATAGTCAACCACGACTCGACTCCACGCTACAATCTCAACTAATGAAAAGAACTTTAATCTCCATAAAATCCTCTTCCCAATTTTAGTCATTTGACAACGACTTAAACGCCATCATCATCATCATCATCATCATCATCATCATCATCATCATCATCATCATCATCATCATCATCATCATCATCATCATCATCATCATCATCATCATCATCATTTCATGTGATCATCAACTTTATAATCATGATAATTTACTAATTTAACAATGAATATGATTTTTGTAGTATAAACCATTACAAATTCATTTCATATTACATTCATCATATTAACAATAGAAATTAATATAAGATAATTAGTTACTAAGGAATGTTTCTTGGTAGACAAATCGTTTTAGTTCACTGCATTGATATATATACATGTACATGTGATATATTCAGCAATCACTGTCAATGAATCAAAATTGTCAAGATGATCTTTTAGTTATATTGAATTGTCATTTGATAAGCGACAAATCAATGAAGAATTTAATAGAATGTGATATTAGTTATCTATTCTTAGATGAGACAAAAATTCTATGGAACTATTATTGTTATATGAATGATTAAGTTATTGAATATATAGTTGTTTAGATAATCATTAGAAATCAATTGAATGTTTTATTGATAATGAGTTACCTTACTTACTTACTTACTTACTTACTTACTTACTTACTTACTTACTTACTTACTTACTTACTTACTTACTTACTTACTTACTTACTTACTTACTTACTTACTTTACGTTACTTTACTTTACTTATTTATTTACTCATTTACACTTGTTACCTCTTATCGAGGAGAATTGGCCAAACATAAATCCAAATAAAGATAATTCATGTAGTTTTAGTTCAAAATCATGTGTCAATTGAAGCTAAACCACCATGGAAAACCTCGAAGACCTGGACAGTCGTTTTGTTCTATTGTGGGACTTCTAAACAGTACGCATTCACAATCCAACCTCGAGAGATTCGAACAAAGAACATATCGGTCTCGTATGCGAACGTTTAAAATCTAGACCACTGAGGCAACATTCAATGATGTTATTGTCTAACTCCAACCAATCCACGAAATTGAGCGATACATCTATTATTGTCTTCAGTAAGTTACTATCTCACGACAGACTCGATTGAAAACCACTGGTCACTTCTTCTCTTTAGAACTGCAGGGAATATCTCTTGAAACCAGTCACTAGTGAGCACATGATGATTAGTAACAGCAGGGGTTTTCGTGGCTATTATAGTAAATTTAATGGTTGATTTCATGAGTCAATTGAAGCTAGACCATCATGGATAACCTGAAAGCACTGGACGACCGTTTCATTCTAGTAAGGGGCTCATCATCATATTCTCACTAGTGACGGTTTCCAAGAGGTATTTCCTGGAGATTTAATGAGAGGATGCGACCATTGGGGTTCAACCAGGTCTGTTGTAAGATAGTAACTCACTGATGACAATGGTGGATGTGATACTCAATTTCGTGGATTAGTTGAAACTAGGCATTAACACCGTTGGATGCCGGCCATCTCAGTGATCTAGTGGTTAAGCGCTCGCACACGAGACTGACAGGTTCTGGGTTCGAATCTCGCGAGACGGGATCGTGGATGTTCACTTCTGACGAGACTCATTGTGTGACGAGAGAAACTATAATTTAATCCGATTCAAAACTGATTATTCAATAAGTTACCATCAAAATTCAATCTACTAATATCATGAGAATAAATATGAATTAAGAAACATAAATAAAAGATTTATTAGATTATTCATTTGACCTATTCATTCACATCCATCACTTTGTTTGACCTACTACTGTGATCTGCTATAAGATGCATATGTTCCAGAACATGTGATATCTCATTCAGTTTAAGATTTTGAAAGAAACAACAAACCACTACTACTACTATTATTATTATTATTATTATTATTATTATTATTATTATTATTATTATTATTATTATTATTATTATTATTATATTGTGAACGAGAACTTAGATAGGGAATGGCAATTTATTTATTAATGCAACATTCATTATCATTTTCCACGTCCTGTTTTTATTCCATTTGCTCTTTGTGTACATTTCTGTTCCGTTTATTTCACTCTTCTTCTGGTAAACATACTACTTCTAATTCTTGTCTCATACTACTTATATCCGTCTACATAAATAGTGCACACCACACTACCACTACAACTACTACTGTGGTGCGTTCTACTCATATTTATATAAATAGTATATAACGCGAGAGAGGAATGTAATGTCTGGCCTCAGAATATTTGGAAGATTAAGAAAGGAAAAGCGGGAATAGAAAGCAATTAGTATAGAAATGTAAGAACAATGAAGTACGAAGCAATTATTGAACATTTTCAAATTAGTTATTATAGTATGGTTTTTCTATTTTACCAAGTAACTCTGTAGTGTGCTTAGTATAATTAGGTTGTCCTCACCCGTGTTCTCCTTCACTACGCTACTATAACGACTGCTACTACCACAAATAATGAATTCGACTAGGCCTATATATGTAATCCCGTTACTACTTACTTCTGTGCATTCACTGAAACGTAACTAATATGCAGCATTGTAATGTGACCTGTAATATATTGAATACTTATCTAGCGGTCCTTTGAAAATGTCACCAGTCTCAATAAACTGTCACTTAGATATAGTGTGGTGTGAGCTACTTATATTGATATAAGTAGTATATAACGTGCGTTAAAAGGACGTAATGTCTGGGAGCAGAAGAGGGAGAAGATCAAGAAAAGAAGAGCGAGAACATAATGGAATTTGTAAGAAATTGCATGAACAATGGAATGGGAGACGATGGATTGGTGTTTGCAACAGAAACAGTCCAGTTTGGTTTGATGCATGAATATTTTGCAAATTGACGATTTAATATATGGTATTCAGATATTGTTGAAATAGACTGTAATTGTTGTGTTAAATACATCTGTTTGTCCCCACCCGTGTTCTCGTTCACAACAATAGGTCTGTTCGTAAAATCATTGGTGGTCTAACACTGATTGATTTTTAACCTCTATCAAAACTCAACAATCTCCCTAACCCTATACTGATAATGATCATATACTCACTAGTGACTAGCTTCAAGGTGTATTTCCTGGAGTTCTAGTGAAAAGCCATGACTACAAGAGCTAATCCATGTCGGGTATGAAGAAATTACTCATCGAATACAATGGAAGATGGTCGCGCAATATTATAGATTGGTTAAAGACATACATTAACACTGTTGGATACCGAAAGTAGATTTTAAAAAATACTGGCTTACCACTTTATCCAATCTTAGATATAGTCAATTCATCTTATTATAGAACTGAGAATTGGTTAGTTGAACTTTTAAAGTTACTACACAAAAAAGTAGTACAATACAGTGTAAAAGATAGTTTTGGATTGGTTAATAGAGATAGTGTTCAAGAAATTCATGATATCACTTGTTGTATCCCCTTCATTTATAAATGTGTCTCTCGCATAGAAACAATTGATTTCATACATAATGTGTTACAAAATCGACAAATGGGAATCCGTATTTCTGTGTTCCTCTTTGAATTAATCAATACTCAGATGTCTTACAAAAAAAACTTGTCAGAAGGGGGTTTTGTGGACATTTTAGAAATTTCACTGTTTGAAATCATGAGTCAATTGAAGCTAGATCACCATGAGAAACCTGGAAGCACTGCACGGCTATTTCGTTCTAGTATGGGGCTCCTCAGAAGTGCGCATCCACGATCCTGCTCCCTGCGAGATTCGAACCCAGAACCTGTCAGTCTTGCGCACGAGCGCTTAACCATTAGACCACCGAGCCGTTTAGCATGCAACAGTGTTAATGTCTAACTTCAATTTGATGATGTCTCTATGGGATCACTATTAGATCCAATGTAAGCTGATTTCTTTCTGGGAAAAATTAGAAAATGGTCCTTTAAGAAATGTGACAGACAAGTTGGAATCACTATATGGATAATACATTTATAGTTACATCAAACAATAGTGAAGTTCAATCCATAGATTTTACTATGCAATTACCTTGATAATGGAGGAAGAAAAGCATGAAATCATCTCGTTACTAAATTCTCTATTGATGTGAAGAACTGATGGGTTCATAAGAAGTAGTGTTTATCATAAACTAACTACACAAAGCCAATATATACACTTTTCTAACATTGTCAAATGTTTGACCTCCCTCCCGGAGCCAAAATTATTTGTTCTGAGGATAGTCTTAGAGTGGAACTAAAACTTATTCAGGATTTATTGAGTAAGCACGAATACCCATCGAAGTTCTTAATGAAATATATGTCTTTATATAAAATGCATTAGAAAGTACATTTAATGCAGCTCAACAGTGAGTTCAAGAAATAAAACGTGACTGCTTAGTTCTTATGTCTCAATGTATATTTAGTATTTCAACCGTTCTTGTGAAACTAGTTATATTGAGTGCACAACTAAACAAATGCATCATTGTATTTTTGAACACCACTACTCATGATTGACTAAATGACAATAGAAGGTAATAAGAAGCTTCATTTTTTGTGAATCTAGTCAATACTGGCCAACCAATAAATAAAACATCAATAGATCTCATCGAATTCATTCTATGGTTTTAGAATCCAATTCTTACATACAACAGAAGTCATTAGAATACATATCAAGAAACTTAATCTTTGTATATAGAATCTACCATGGTCTTTTGCTTTGATATTATTACATCCCATTGTACAATCTAGTGTCTAATTGAACACAGTAGATAAGTGGATAATGTGATGATGTTTGCAGCAAATTGTGTTGAGTTCGATTCTCAGAGTGAACATCAACTCTGAGATGCAGGTACATCCAACTGACGAATCCCAAAATAGGACGAGATACACTTTGTCCTGGATATCCACTACTAGCCACTATGAATGGATAATCCTGAAGAGTTCAATATTGAATGAAAACAGGGATCTTGTGCTTTCTGATTTTCATTGGGTGCATAATCGAAGTCATTTCGTCGTATAAAACTTTGAATGAATATTTGCTCTATTTGCTTTTTTAATAATTTCATTTTTCTTGCCTAGGCGAGACTATAATTTATGGACGAGCCAATAAGAAGCATTTGAGAGCTTTCAAAATCGCAGCGCTAAATTTACTACCTGATGCACATGTACGATCGGTTCAGTGTGGATTTTAAAGAAGACATTATAATTGAGCGGCTACATCAAATGAGACCACTAAGAAGTCCCTTTATTTGTGATTTTGGTAATCAAATGACTTGTAAACCTTGTGCAGACTACCGTGATGATGTTGTTTTTCGATGTAATATATGTTGGAGAAAGAGGAACATTTTTTACTCGATCCAGATTGAGACTAAGGCAAATTATCACAATTGTTGGGAACTGGATAATAAAAACACCATTTATACTGGCTGCAACATTTGCAGATGTTACTGAAGCTTTGGCTGTTCAGTGGTATGAGTATTCTAGAGTTATATGCTCACTAAAAATGACAAGCTTACACCAGTCGTTTGGAAGGGGGAGTCGAGAGAATCGTTGAAATAGGAGAAACAGTTGTCAGAAAACCAAAATTCAACAGATGACGTAGTGTTAAAAAAGACTACATAAGTAGCATTACCATAAATTTACCTCACAGGTCCTTGGAATATACGATAGGTTATCTCAAAAGGGACACTCTAACGAGTTAGAAACTCACACGCCACAACGATACTATTAATTATACAGGAATATATGCAGCCCGGTACCGATGCCTACATAGACTTGGTTATATGAATCGTATCATTGTCCACAAGCGACATTTTATGGAACCAACAACCACCTGAGTATACACAAACAATACTGAAGCTATTTAACCGAGCCTAAAAGAGTTTTTGAAACCTTATCATGGCTCCAGAGGTCGACTATTATGGAGTCATATAGATGACTTCTTCTAGCATATGCATTATCGTATGCATACTAACTGTTTTCTCATTGATTTATGTTTCTCAAGGTTACTTAATATTTGTTCAAAGGTCGTTCATAAATTATAGTCTCGTCATTGCATTCATTAGATAAATGTGAAGATGAAAATTGAGTAATTTTTTCTGGTTAGCGTTTTTTAGCGAGTTAGTTTTCTACGTGATAGGGTCGCTAACCTCGTGCCCAACCCTCCTCCTTTATCCGGGCTTGCGACCGGCAGTAGTCCCCGGAGAGATTCCAGGCAGACCAAAGAACACATTACGCCGGGAAATGGAGATAGACATGAGAAAAATGAACAAGAATTGGATGGAACTAGAAAAGAAGGCCCATGACAGAGTGAGTTGGAGAATTCTGGTCGGTGGCCTATGCTCCATTAGGTGTAACAGGCGTAAGTAAGTAAGAAGATGAAAAGAAATATGACTGTTACATAATTTTGTCATTTAGTCAAATGTTGTTCATATCCATAAAATTTAAGACTTAATATTTGATAAGACATCAATCTCTAATTTTCATATAGATCTTTATCACCAGGATTTGATATCGAATTCATTAGTCGACTTAAACTAGACCACCATTGAAAATCTAGAAGCATTAGACGGTTGTTTCGTGCCAGAATGGGACTTCTCAGTAGTGTGAATCCACGATCTTATAATCATCAATCGAACTCAAGACTTTCAGTTTGGTTGATTGATTGAAGTCCAATTTGTATATCACTAGATACTGAATCAGTAGTCTAGCGGTTAAGTATTTGTTCGCAAGACAGAAGGTTCTGGGTATAATTTTAAGTGATTGGGTCATGGATGCCCACTGATGAATATTCCTGTGCTAGGACCAAACAGCCATCCAATGCTTCAGGATTTTTGATGGTTGTCTAACTTCAATAGGTTTGTGGTCGCAGTAAAAAGTTTCAATGTTTTATCCCGAGATGTCTTCTTTTTCAGACATTAAAATGTATATTCACTCAGTTCAACAACAAAGTCTGTCTCTTTTTCTTCGATAAACCATACACAAAACATTGATTTTTAGTGAGATAAGTTACTGGACTTGCTTTGTTGATCACCGAGGTAGATCAGGTCAATGAAATGTTAAAAATAGAAACTACTTATAAGTAACATGAATTTTAAAATCTAAACTATCAATTTTGACTCATAAGATGAATTATAACTGGCAGTGAAATCAAGAACAAGTATTACATCCCATGCATTCCAACTTTAATATAAACTCCAGGACTCAAATAAATCAGTCTTTCTACAAACGCCGAACATATTATCCAATGAACTCTTGAGTTCAAATGGTCACTGTATCATAATTGAAACTTACTTTTTAAGTTTTCGGTTTTCATCCTCTCAATTTCGTAAACAACAGTAATGCCATGAGAAGGCAATGAGTAGGACTTCCCTGGCAGTGGTTGTATACACGTGGACATGTGAGAGCATTTATAGAGGGGGTTGACTCTCCTCACTCTCTGCCATACCAGGGCATTTGGGGGCACTTTACTAATGACTGACATCTAGTACCTCAATACCACATACGCGATGTTAAGTTACTCGGACCAGCAGTTACATTACAGACTGATCTGTAGAATTTGATTAACCTTAGAGGAATAGACAAACAAAACATTC